TGGGGTGAGATGAAGAAAAATAGAGAGGGAGAGGATCACGTGCTCTATTAAAAAATATAATATATATATTTTGTTTTCATAATAAAAAAAAATATATATATATATTATTATTTTAAAGCCTCCACTCATTTTTCACGGAACACCACCTCACAGCAAAATGAACGTCCTTTCTTGATGAAATCGACGTTCCGAACACACCAATGTGGTCCGTTTTGTCATCCGAGGTCACCTGGATAACTTTTTTGGCGATTGAGTATAGAATGATAATTCATATATTTTATACCCGCTCGCGAAGTCGTAGCGAAATAAACGTTCCTCTGTGCTGAAATTGACGTTTCGGACTCACTCGCGTGGTCTGTTTCGTTGTCCGGGGTCATCGAAACAAGCTTCACAGACGATCAGGCCAATTTGAGCCAATTTCGCGCGCAGTGCGACGAATAATATCTGTTGACCAAATCAGAGAGGTTCGATGAACAAAATGTCGACCGACATTCGTCTAAGCGAAAACCAAAGTCTAGTAAAACGACCTCGGCTATGTTCCCCTCAACACGTATCAAAAAGGTCTCGGGTGGGTGTCTGAACTATCGGATTGTTCCCCTCAACACGTATCAAAAAGGTCTCACGTGGGTGTCTGAACTATCGGATGTTATGGACAGACCGTAAACTACTCCGAGTCATACAAGTGAACATCCTACACCTATGACATCAAAAAATTGTTGCCAACAGTATGCAATAATAAAAAAACCATCTAGCTATCACCAAGTAAGCTCGATGTACAAAGTCTTTAGATATTAATACATTTTTTATATATGGTTGTGAACCTGGTTCTATTTTTTAAGCAAAATAATTTTTATTTCATCTTTCTTTTTCCTCATTTCTTTATCAAACCCTTTATCATGTGTAGTTGAACCTTATTCTTTGGAAAAAGAATTAGAAACTCTCTCTTCTTCAAGCTAAATCATGATTTAAACTAATACTTTCTTCATTATTTGCCTCATTTTCTTATATATTTATTTTAAATTCTCTTGCATCTAATAACATATAGCATGTGATACTTTTTTGCATGCAACAATATTACCCTTCACCCCAGCTAGGTGTTATTTCATTATGTTAATTCCTCCACATTTGTATATAATCCCACAATGCAAGCGTTTATACTATTTTTTTCCACCAAGACCTTTAAATTCACTAAAATGATTCAACACTATATTTACTTTTTCTAGAATACCTTGCATGAAAATACTTCCAGAAAATCCATTCTAATTTAAGTATTATAAAATTATTAATATAATAATAAACAATATGCATATAGATATGAAATGAAAATTGAAACACACATTTTCAAAAATCTTGAATATAACAAATCTATGACAATGTCTAACATAAACACAATATCATTGGAAAAAAAATATAGACATGATAAGATATATAAGAGGAAAAATAAATTTAAACATTAATTTATAATTGAAAGCATCATAAATCACAACAACTTGCACTTTTTAATAGCTTATCAAATCAATGAAATATGAATGTCTAGAACAAATGCAACCTATAATTAATGTTAATATACAATATATACAAAATTAAAGTTAATACTTAATGCAATCAATTATAATTAGGAACAATACGAGTACTCCACAACTTTAATCTAATTCATTGCTCCATCAAAAATATCTTTAATAGATTACCAAAACCATAAAATATACCTTCTCCTTCAAGTGAATGCACTTGATTTTATTGTCATTTGTCCTTGCAAGGTATCTTATGTATGTTATTCTTCTTGATTATGCTGCAACATAAAACATTAAAGAATATTCATGATTTATCGCGTTGGTAAATGAGGCAAAGTTTGTATGGATACCATCAACCTTAAATAAATATTTAACTTTATCAAATTAGCTTACAATTTAAAAATGACAATCTCAGGGTGACTCACAAATATATTTTATAAAATTCAATTGACTAGTTATCTTTATATAGATCTAAACATTTGATAAAAGTTACATGCACAAAACTAAGCATGGTAGGAATTGGAAGGTTAAAATATATATGTGATACACCTATGAATAATAAATAAAGATTTAGCTATATTACAGGGGGTGAAATAGTACTTACATAAGTTATTATGAAAGAGATTGACTAATGCTCAAAATATGTACATTTGTTGGCAAAAAAATGAACCAATAAGTCAAAATATTAAGATATGTAAAAGGAACATAGGAGAAAGAGAAATTTAAAATTGACATGTCTACAAAATATAAAAAACACTTGCATAAAACAAATCAACACCTATGTATTACTTGATAGAATGTGTCAGGATAAAACAAATGTCACCATGTTCAACTTTCTAATATAGGAAGTGACTAGCTAGCCCTCCATAATTAAATCATATCTATCCAAACTTAGCCGTAGAGCCATGACATTAATTTAGAACCTTTAGAGCTACTGCGTAAGTCAGATTCTCTTATATGTCCTGGAAAACTATAGTTGCAACTTCAGTTCTATTGAACTTGTATTTATTTAGAATTTTATGCAAGGATCATAAGATTAATAAACCCGCATGACAATCCTTTCTATATGAATATTTCAATGTAATCTCATTTGGTGCATGAAAAATTCTTCCTCGACATATGGAGGAAAGAAGAAAAGAGAAACCATAAGAAAAGGGGAAGACGGAAGTCGGAAACCGAAAATGCTTACAAGACAGGGAAGGCAAAGAGAAGAGAAGAAGAACTTTGATCCTCACTCCTTTGATCCTTTATATGTCAGGGTGTTCTAGCATTGGAGAGCTTCGAGCCGCATTCTAGACTCTGCGCCTTTGACCGCGACATGCTCATAGGGAAGGAATTAAAATGCCGTTTCACATGTAAAACGGGCAAACCGGCTCACCGATTTATTAGTCGAGCCACCGGTTCAACCGATTTTCTACTGTTCAAAGGCTGAAAGAATTATTTTGAGGTAACCGCATGGGGCTGACTGCTGATTCACAATCAAATTGATTGAGCCTGCCAGTTCAACCCAATTTTTAAAATAATAATAATATATCCATACAATACCCTCTTAACTATAGAAATATTTGTTTAGTCTAATGTAGGCACAGCAGCGTACACTGATAAGTTATGGAGAAGATATTGAAGGATTATTCATGTTATAGCGCTGTAACCTCTCTATAAAAACGTGAAATAATAGAAACGCTAGCGAGCTTACGGTAAGCCAACATTCTCCGCGATTCAGCTCCCGCTGGACCTTTTTACAGCAACGGCCTTGCCCTAGATCTTCCGTAGACCTAGGTGTTAAACCCAAGTAATATGAAAAGGGGCAAACCTCTGAACATTCAGGGGTTTTTAGTGTAACAGTAATGAAATTTCATTAGGCCGACCAAAGCTGCCGGTACTTTGGTTACGGTAAAGATGAAGCGAAAGAAATGGAAGGAGGCTGAGGAGGAAACCCTAATCAGCGCCTATTCGGAGCTTGTCTCCTCCTGCGGTAAAATCTCGCAGCTGCGGACGCGTGAGAAGAAATTCCAGCCCATTGCTGATCGTGTCAACTCGCTTCATCATCTCTGCGACGCCACCGCCTTCCCCTTCCGCTGGTCATGGAGGGACGTCTCTATCAAGATCCAGAACATGCGTCATCAGTACATCGGCGTCAAGCTCAAGCTTTCTTCATCCTCCGCAGCCGAAGGTCCTGATTTGGATCACTGCCTCCAACTCTGGCCGAACTTCCTCCGCTACAAGGCCGTCTTCGGCGACATAGACCCCCATCCATCCGCTTCCTCATCCTCCTCAGCTTCAGCCTACGCCTCAGCTGCCTCCGACGACGGTAAAATTGAAAACTTGGGTAAGATGGTGGCGGAGCTTGGGGTGGTGCTGGTGGGGCGAGAGGAGAGTCGGAGAGAGAGAGAGGGCTGTGATAGGGAGTGCCGGCGTCAACGTGGGAGTGAAATGCAGGCATTGGCAGCGATGGTTGTGTCAGATGAAGAGGAGGAGCGTAGGCAGCGTTGGAGACGCAGGGAGGAGAGGAGGGAAGAGGAAGAGATGGAGTGGAGGGAGAGGATGCTGGGAATGCAGATGGAGCATGAGAAGCAGGTCATGCAGATGCATGCCGAAGCATGCCAGGCTCAGATGCAGATGCTCAGTATCCTTGTCCGCTTTGTTTGCCAGTTTCTTAGCCCCACGGCGAGCTCTGGTGCTGGAGGGAGTGATGGTGGGATTAATGGCTTACAGCATCATGTGATGCACAACTTGCAGCACCAACAGCAGCAATCTCCAGGAAGCTTAGTGGTTGATAATGTTAAAAATGATGTGCCTTCTGGAGAAGACTATTTATAGTTTCTCGTTATTGTAAGTAATTTTTTTTTCCATTTTTTTCTGGTAAAATTGAGCGAATTTTTTCAAAAACACGCGGTGGAAAGACTAAATTCTTAACCGACAAATTAAAGTAGCTTGCATCCAGTTCAAAAAATTGCATCCAGAGTTTCAATCATAATTTAAAGTGGTATAATAAAATGTACAAGATAATTTTCCTTAATCATAACAGCACTCAAAACCATTATTTTCTGCAGACAAAATTTGATCATCTTGCATGTTTTACAAAATTTTTGCCTTTTTGAATTACTGGGTTGCACTCTGTTACATTTTTTATATGACAATATTATAATGAAATTATTTTTCCTTTTTCGAGGATCTTAATCATTATGCTAGACTTTGTTGAGAATAATGATTTTAGTTTTGTCTTAACAACGTCTGTTAAATTAGCTTAATTTTCTTGCTAGATTTTCCTTTAAGTTTCTTGCTATTCTTTTTTTTTCAGTATGCAGCTTTTCCATAGCATGGATGTCAATAATAATGATGAATATGCATATGGATTGATTGTCTGTAGGCGTCTGTCTTCTACTTCTTGCAGTGTGATAGAACAAGGGTTTGAATAAGGACGGGAGTTGTGTGATTGTTTTATTGTTTTCTGGTATTTGATTCCTTTTTCCTGCTGGATTCTCATGTTTTTCGATTCCAGTTTACTTATTTGAATTATCTAACTAGAGGCAGAGAAATAGACTGAAAAATGGCTAGTTCACTTTCCCATATATACATACGTTCATTGGAAATTAGTGGATGGCGGGAGGATGAAATTTGGTATTCAGTCCTCTTTCCTTTTTTGAAATCCTTTATAAAGAGATAGTGTGAAGCCTTTGGCACATGTTGTTGAGGTTTTGTGATTCAATGCAAGACTATATTGAGGTTATTTTTAATTATTATAGTATTTAATATTAATCTTTTTTTTAAGCTTTAGATGCATTTAATTTTAAAATTATCTTCATTTTAAATAAATAATAGAATTTTAAGGGCTCACTGCGTTTGAATCTATAGTAGAATAAATGGATGAAAAGGCTTAGCTTGTTCATTTTTTTTAATGGCTAATTATATACAAAATTAAAAATGAAAAAGGAAATAAATAATTGCATAAAAATTAGCCTTTAGCTATCTGTCATTTGATTATTTAAAGCTCTCAGATTGATGCCAAAGGAGCAATGCATGGTTTCGTTCATTCTTTTTTTTGCATATGAATCCGTGAGAAGTATAAATTTGTGGTATCTAATTTTCCTTTTATAAACTTTATTGATCCAACGACTCTTCAATAGAATTTTTATAGGGGATTTACATACATTGCATTGAATTTATTTATAGAACACCCTGGTTTTAAATGACTTCAAAATATATGAATAAAATTGGGTGTTTCATCTTAGATTAGTATTTATGGTTCTTTATTTTCATTTAGAGGTCAGAATATT